TTTGATTTATGATACGACCAGTTCACTCAAGTAGCTTGCCAGAAATCGGGTGGTTTGGAATGACTCGGCTCTCTGAGCTGAATAAAACCGAGTACAACTCTGATGAGCTCAACCCGAAACGAGTGAGACGGCCGTCGGGTGTGTAGATCACCTTGATTTGGCCAGCAAGCACTACTGGTTGATATGAGTTATATACAACTACTCATCTCAGTCAATCAGTAGTATATAGTTATATGCGTATTTTATTTTTTAGGTGTTGCGTTTCTGAAGATTTCACTGATTTGAAAGTAAATATCGTTAAACACCGGCCCGAACAGCTCAATGGTAACGTCTTTACTTCAACACTGAATGACGCTGGTCCGAATCCTAGAGGGGACATAAGTTCCTTCAAGGTTGATGAGTGCCAACTAGCACGAAACCTAGGTCTAAGGCTTCCTGCCTATTGCCTTCTACCATCTAATAGTATCAAACTTCCTTTAAGTTTGCCAACAAGCCCGAAACTAAAAGATCGTTAAACATGGAAATTTATTGGAGGGTCATCTAAAAGCAGATGATACTATGGGACTGTTTGGTCCTTATTTTCGATTGTACAGTATAGTGCGTACACAAAATATTGGTTTATATTCAGATGGACAATATTTTCACTTTGAGGTTCAGTGATATATATCAGTACAAATATCACTCGGTTTATTGATGAAGTGTGTTACAAAGATAAGTCCCGTTACGGTCATCTATGTGCACTACTGAAAAGCCTCAAAATATGGACGAAATAATTATTTAATGTGCATTAGTTTCTAATAGTTCTTCCATTTAATTTCAGTTACTAACGAAATGTATCTTGTAATTAGGCTTTTTATTGATCACTTTTTTAATCATATCAATTGTCACAAATGTTATGATCATGAACATTGAATAATACTGTTTCACTGTGTATTTTTACATGTGATAAACAAATTTATATTGGAATTAAATACTACCACAGTGTCCAAGTTTTACACATGTATCTTTTAGTTTTCGATTAAGGAATTAGGTGAACGTTTATTGTGTTCATTGATTTTAGTTGATCATGAGAAATACGTTCCAGATGGAATGAAAGAAGGGAAATACTCTGGAAGGTATGAGAATTTTTATAGGCACAATAGTTTTCATATTACATGTTCTCTTAAGCTTTGGTTTAATATCACAGAATTTTAGATGAATAGTGGTCTGAAGACGTTTAACTAACAGTTGTGAGTAGCTATTAGTTGAAGTTACGGGAAAATAATGTATCTAGCAGAATTAAAAAAAAAAAACTAGGTCAAGGTTATTCATGATTCTATTTTGTCTTGATTAATGAATTCTGGCTGGATTCATACTTTTTGTCATTGTCTCAAATGATACGATACAAGTTGCTTAATCACGATTATATAGTAAGGTATCTTAATGGCATGCTGGTAGAATGATTACCAACCACACAGGAGGCCCAAGTTCGAATCTCAGCTAACATCCCTGAATCTTAATTAGCCGGTATCAAGGCCGAATAGCAAGGGTAGGTCGGCCGTCAGGCTAGCAACCCCTCTCCTGAAACAATACCATCACTATTGAAACTTTAAAGCTTTAAGCTTGAAGCCGTATGTTCCACTCAGAACGCAGGGAATGAAAGATGACATAATACGGATACATACGAGTAGTTATCTCTAATTAAATTGAAGTAGTCTAAATACAGACAGAGTGAATGTTCTACTTGTTTGGGATCAAGCTTATTAGCATTGATGAACTTCTCTACTTTTAGTTTTGTCGCCAGCTTTTGTATCATATACATCATCTATTGTGGTCTGGACATTTTTCATTTACTACAGGAAACAGGATGTCAAGCCACCTTGAACTTTGAATAACTGATATTATTATGTTCAAATCATCTCAATAAAAGAAGTTAAGGATCTGTTGTGGTGAGAGCTAGCTGAAGCCAAAAATTGTAGACAGCAATTTGCGTCAATGTTACGTCCCGAATCGGGGTCATGAATAAAACAATAACAAAGCTTAACCTTGAGGAACTCACAAACCAATCACAGCAGACTCAACGTGTGCAAATACGATTCGCAGATATATGGCTTAACTTTCTAAGAAACGGGCACGAGCAGTACAGAATAACCTTCAGCAAGAAAACAACCAATCAGAAGACGTTGCTTCTCTGCTAACAATAACGTATAATAATGTATATAAAAATCTATAAATATCTGTTGATTTTCTCAATAAACGATCTGTTGCCTGCCCTTGTCTTCTGTCGTTACACTATTAATTTATGAATTGAAATCTTTTACACATTTTTTCATCCATTTGTCGCTTTCTATTAGGTTAGTGGTTACACAACCAGTTTTTACAATGACGTAGTAAGTTTATATATTTCTTATTTATTTAGTCTCTTTGTTTTTCATTTTTATACTTGTGTAGATGTGAACCTGAGGATCTTTGGTGTAGACGCTCAGCTTCCAAGCATTGTGTCGTGGATTCAAACTCCTCTTTTCACCTACCGATTTTGAGCAGTCAGGTAGTATCACTAGCCCTTACACAATAGATATGTGCCACTACCGGTGGGTGCGTACTGATGAAGAGTCCCAAACTAGGACGAAACAGCTGTCCAGTACTCCCAGGTTTTCCAATGGTTCTCTAACTAATGTCAGCTCATGATGAAATCCTGTAACCAATCAAATCCCTACAAACCAACACTTGAAAATCAATGAGATGCTCACTAGCGACTTGCCCTATTCAGGTGGGTAGTCACCTGGGGTTCTAGTGAGAAGTCGTGACCAGTAGGGTGCAGCAGGTAGGGCGTGAGGACAAATACTCGCCGAAGACATTGGCTAGGGGTCGCGCTATGTCGTGAATTGGCAGAAGTTAGAATTCGAGGGCCATTGGATCGGGTCACAGTGGCTCAAAAGGGTATACGAGCTCGCCTTGTAACCAGAAGGTCTGGGTTCGAATCCCGGCGGGTGTGTACTGCTGAAGAGTCCCAAAATAGGAAGAAACAGCTGTCCAGTACTCCCAGGTTTTCCAATTGTTCTCTAACCAATGTCACATGATGAAATCCTGTAACCAATCAAATCCCTACAAACCAACACTTGAAAAGCATGGGAATGCTTGTAGTTGTTGAGTAACATTTTCATTTCGATACCTTATAAGCTATTCTGTCAGTTAACTTGTGCAAGATATTATAATACAAAATGTTGCAAAATTTTGCATCATAAAGTTACCTACAATCAAGGATTGTTTACAACAAAAATATTTTTTTCTCTTTTTCTTTTATCCGTGATTTTGGCTCTTAACATTTCAACTCATATTGATTCAGTTTTGACCTTTTATACTGTATTAATTTTTATCGAAATATTTATGAAAGAGTGGAACAGAGGGCTTCAAGCTAGAACTTTGAAGTTGCAGTAGCAGTAGTGTTTATTTTTATGGGGTGGAGTCGTTAGCCTCATGCCCAACCTCCCCTCTTTACTGGCCTTACTACCGGCTTCACGAGGCCTAGGAGTGTGTCGGCCGAGGATCGCGAAACCCGAACCACAAGCGTGGTTGGAAAGCGTTCTACCACTGAACCACCGACGCTGTCAGATGAGCTACTTCTTTTTATTTGTTTTATTTAAATTCATAAAGGAAACTAACTGCCTTATACAACTATTATTTGTTTCCATTCAGGAATGTTGTCGATAATCACAATGCAGTCACATCCAAGTAGGATGGAAAGCATACCTTCAGTTCTACTGATAGTCATCTTCAAATAAGTTGCATATTATTGTCACTTTTGATGTTCACTGAGTCATTCGATAAGAGAGTTTCAATTCCAGTGTAGAATTCATGGGAAATACGATTATCAATGGTAAGATTTTGTCTCAGATATATTCTTAGCGTATAAATATAATTAACTAGCAGTAAGATTGTTTAATTCACCTACATAATGGACAGTAATGGTTTAAAAAAGTGAATGTTTATGAATATTATTGTAATTTGGAATAGTGTTGCTTATCTCAGAGTATATATACCCACTTGCGTCGGTGGCACAGCGGTAGAATGCTCGCCGACCACGCATGTGGTTCGGGGTTCGATCCCCAACCGACGCACTCCTTTACCTCGCTAAGCCAGTAATAAAGCTGGTAAAGAGGAAAGGTTGGGCATGAGACTAGCAACCCCATCCTGTAAAAATAAACACTGCTACCGAAACTTCAAGTCTCTAGCTTGAAGCCATATGTTACACTGGGAACGTGAAGGAATGAACAAAAATATATCCCAACTAAGAAATATGTGAATAATATTGAACTCAAGTGTATTTTATTGACAGAATATATATAACACAATTAACATTAATGTTGGTGACTAGCAGTAAAATCCAAGAGCCACCTTTCGTCCTATTTAGAACTTGTTATTGGATGTGAGTGATCGTATTCCCACTGCGACTCAGATCCAGCATCCGCTGTTTCAAATGCTAAAGTATGATCCCCTATGACTCTGGAGCATGAGAGATGCCTCTAGTGCAAAAGGTATTAGTCTCCCTACCGTTGGGGGAAACTCAAACAATAAATTCAACAAAACAACCAATTGACATTAGTTTCATCTTTATGTTAGCATTACATTAACAGGGTCCAATTCTGAAGAGAATTCATGGTAATCGGTATTATTAGTTTTAAATACTTTGTGTATGTGCGTGCAATATATACAGGATGATGCAACTTGGTATTCAATACCATCTAATTAATGTTCAGTAACCTCAGTTCATTTCCATATAGTGAGTTTATCATGTTTTTGACTGTTTCTATAGTAAAAATGGGTAACTAATATACTTTGTAGTATGAAATACAAAATACTTTTAAAGAAGGATTAGTTTCTTTTCAGATTAGATTACACAAACACGTTAGTAATAAGTGCGGATAAGTAAAAATAGCTTAAATAGATTTACCATCTAGTCAGGTTATGTAATTTGGGAGTATTATTATGTTAATTTGTATTCAGAAAGAATGATAACTCACCTCTTCATCATCTTGTATTGAACTAGTCTAAAAGAATAAAAAAATAATCTTTGTTTATCAATGTCAACTAATTAATAATGTACTGCTGCAGACTTACATATTAAACAGGCAATATTATATGATGATATCTTACACTAGATTGACTTTACTTCTAATCGCTTTTTGTTAAATAAAAAGCTTTATCAGTATTACTAATTGTGAGCAGAGTGTGTGTGTAAGTCGATGCTACGTCTAACAATAGTTATGTTCATTCTTTGTTATGCTTAGTATCCTAGGTGAAAAATGGATCTCCGACAGCCTTGAATTAGTAGACTACTGTTATTGGTGTACTGGATGATGATTGAAGGTGGAATGAAAATCTACTTCGCGACAGGATTCAAACCTATGGATTAGTAGGACAATAGTGAAACAGCAAAGGCCTGGTAAGCATTCGAGTTTCGCAGCCCAATTGGTAGAGCAACAGGCCACTGCTTTGAATCCTGCAGTGACTTATACTTTCATTCCGTCTCCGGACGTTTCCCATTATACATATTTTTAGTTAAAAGTGAATTATCTTAGTTGATTTAATTGGTGGATGGTGACTAGCAGTGGAATCCAGGATGCGCATTTCGTCCTATTTGGGACTCGTCAGCTGGATGTACCTGCATTCCCCAGTGAGTGATGATGTTCCCACCGAGGCTCGAACCCAGTGCTTATAGTTTCAAACGCCAAAGCGTTATCCACAAGAAGCCGACATGTCAGCCTGAGACCGAGCACTTTGGTCCAATGAATCGACGGGAAAATCTAAAATTTAATTAAATTAACATGACCCGTTGCACAAGAGGTGGCTCTCGTGGCCCAAGTGGTCTAGTGGATAACGCTTTGGCGTTTGAAACTATAAGCAATGGGTTCGACCCTTGGTGGGAATATCATCACTCAGAGGGGAATGCAGGTACATCTAGCTGACGAGTCCCAAATAGGATGAAACGCGCATCCTGGATTCCACTGCTAGTCACCATCCACCAATTAAATTCTAATTAAATGCCCAGACATTGTCGAAGCATCTGCACAGGAAGCCGACATGTCAACCTGAGACTGAGCACTTCGGTTCAATCAATCGACGGGAAAATCTAAAATTCAATTAAATCTTAGTTGATTATATGCTTTTTATTATAGACGTTCGTGATTCAATAAAGAAACTGAAATATACAACTGACTTGAAATACTTCTTTTTCTCATTTCTTTGCGTTTCTGTTGGGACGTAAGGCGGGATTAGTAGTCCCACGCCCAACGCTCTCTATTTCCCTGACTTACTATCGACTAGTAATCTAGACGAGTTTTCTGCATGTATTGACCGACAATAGAACCTGGACCTCCATTGTGACTGGAGAACGTTCTACCACTGAAGAACTAACTTTAAAAAAATTTTAAAGGACTGGGTTATGCCTTTTTATTTATGGAGTTTTCTTGGTGAAAGTAACCACACTTTCTCGGCTGACATTAGAAGTTATGTTACTAGGCTATATCTATACACAAAGAATTCAGAGACATTTATTCTAATGCATTTAAACAGCCCTAGCAACATGTCTCATACTATCAGCCTAATTTCTCCATAAATTAAGGTATTTATTATACGGTTTAAAAAAATAAAATAAATATATTCTGTAAGTAAACAAATAAATAAATCTTAATTAGGAAGGATTTAGTTGTGTTATTTTTTAAACTACCAATGTAAAAATCTAAAAGTTTTCGCTGACAGACAGTGGTGATTTAACATTTTATTTTTATTTACAGTTTTGTTTATTTATTCACTTTGACAACTACTAATTATTTTTTATAGTGAATATGGTCATCTAGTTTATAATAAATATCAAGATTAATTTTGTCACTAGTCAAAATCAATTAGAAGAAACATTGACAACTAAGGGAACAGTAAACCATTTTTTATTTCTTGTTTCTGATGAATCCTCTGTATCCTTCTGCGGACCCATTAGGAGGGTGGAGCCCAGTAGTTATTAAAGTTCTAGATGAGTATGTCACCATTCAACCACTGGGTTAGATTTAATTAGGTCATAATTTTCAACTCTTACTAATCTCAAGTTTGATCACCAACTGACTTCAGTTAGAGAATCGCTGAAAATTAGGAAGTACTGTACACCTATTTCGTCTTTGTTTGGGCTCTTCATCAGTATGCATCCATCATTCCACCAGTGATCGAACACAAGGTCATCAAGTTACCAGCGAGCTCGTTGACCATTTAGGCACTGGGATGGAATTCAATGGCTCACCAGTTTTAACTTCTATCAATTAGCGATATATACTGTGACCACCAGCTAATGTCAACGGTGAGCATCCGTCCTCACACTCAACTCGGTGGACCCCGCTAGTCAGAACTGCTCAGTGATAATCTATTGTTATCAGTAAGTAACCGTTCATGTGCCTCAGAATATGGTTCTCACCGATTATGGCTTCGTGTATGAACTTAGGAGGTAGCACGTATCTGAGGTGGTCACTATTCTCGGTCTGTGACAAAATATATCTGGAAAAGCTTCCAAATACCAATAAACTCAAAATATGGAAATTAAAATTGTGAATAAACAATCATATTGTAAATGAATTAAATTATTGTTAGGTAGTTCAATTATCAGTGTCTTTTTCACATTTATCTTTGGGCCTGAAATAATGATTGAATGTGGTACAATTGACGTAACTTATTCTACTGTTTCATTTAAAACAGTATAATTAATTGATGGTGACACTATTTATAATAGTCTTGAACTGGTAGACTAGTATTCATTTATTGTGTGAGCAGTTGGTAATCTCGGAGGCTATTGGTTCCAGTTCTCCCAAGACCCAGATTTCAGCTTCACCATTGAATCACCAGCCGCTTTATCATTAGCATTTCACCAATCCAAGACTATCTCAGATTGTTTCACTATCAATTAACAACTAGCCCTTCTACTAATCCAGTATGACTAGGATTAATAGAATACTTAGCTAGGAAGCTAGTGTGATCATAAAGGGACAGTTATGTGTCCATTCATCCATATGATAGCTGGGCACTACCCATGGTGATTGCATTGGAATGAAAATATGGGTAACAGATGGGTCTCCTAGCTCAGATGATAGATGGAATGATGAACTAGTAACTTAAAAGCCACTGGTTCGATCGTTACATTAATAAACTCAGTGTTCGTTTTAAAACAGAGGTTGTTGCCATTTTTTGGTTACTTAATGACGGAAGCGGACAAGTATGTAAGTTATCGCCGGATCAAATTTACCTCCCTTTCGTTCTCGGAAGCGGTTGATTAAAATTTGAATTTCCCCAAGTAGTTGGTCTTATGTGACTTTGCATAACGTGCTTAAAGGAATTCTGTAATCATATGTTTGGCTGTTTCAAAGGTGTTTCATCGATGTTTTACACAGCCGGAATATATATATTGTTGGGTTTAGTACGTTGTGCGCGAAAAAACACCTTGTGATCACTTTTATCCTCATCCAACGGAGGCAGTACTATACAACGATATCAATGTGGATATTTTCTATTTTTCTATCATAGTCGTATGTTTAAATACAAACAAGGTGATACTGTGGTGAGAGATGGTTGCTAGCCAAATTGGTTGACAGTAATTCAGTAATCATTTATAGATATATTTTTTAAAATAATTAATTCTGACAAATTCATCTTACTAATCTTAATACTTACAATTAAAACATTTCCAAATTCTGGATCATATTTAAAACGATCTGCTTCTCCACTACCTTCATAATTCTAAAGTAGAAGGGAAAATAAATAAGTAAATAAATAAACTTAACTAATAAAGTATGGCATTTCAGAATGTGTTAAAGTAATATTTCAGGAGACTAGTGAGTCTTGTTTGATGTCAATAGCACACATAAAAGACATAATATTTACCAATAGTCGAAAGCCTAGTCGGAAATAATTAGTTTCATTTGGTGGATGGTGAATAGCAGTGACATTCAGGATGCGCATTTTGTCCTATTTGGTACTGGTCAGCTGATGTACTTGCAGTCCCCAGTGAGTGATGGTATTTTCACTGAGATTCCGACTGAAGAGTCCCGAATGAGGCGAAACGCGCATCCTGGATTGTATTACTAGTCACCGCCCACCAAATAACATCATGTTAATCCTCAGACTTCTTTGAAGCATCCGTACTTTATTCAGTTATGACTGACTGAGTTTCAATGTAGAACTTCGCGCAGTAGTGCAACAGTTGAATTTCAAAGGAACTATAATGAACAGGAAGAATAATTACATGGAAAAACATGAGGACTTAATTGGTCTGACAGAATAGAAAAAGTGAATGTATCTGTGACACGGAGAACGATTTTGAGTCATATCAGTAAAACTCTCAAGGCATTAGTTCTTAACATCCCGGGGACCCCAACTAGACAGTCTACATCGCCCTACGTGGCTCAAACCAACAGCTAAAGACCTCATAGATGTTTAGGTTTTGATTTGACTACCCCTAATTGTTTTTCAACTAATCTTATGTCAGCTAACATTGTTCGACGACTGAGGCCGTGACTCAGTATGCGTAACATGTATCCTAACTACCTCAGTTTGTGTAGCTTCACAACCTCCTCTATTGACTTGGCCTACTTACCTAACACTCCACGCCTAACCTCAATATTCAGTTATACACTAGGAACTATTTTAACTTGGTATGATAAACATAAATTTGTAATACTACGATCTTGTGTGTGTACATATTTTACAATAATAAAATTGGTGGTAATTGTACTCATTTCGTTATTTTTCGGCAAATGAACGGCTTGTTATTAATACCGTTACTTTCGTTCGAATGATTAATGTGACTGGTTCAATCCAGTCCCAAGCAGCTGTAAATTTAATTTGTTATTGGATAGATTGTGGTTACAAGACCTCATTCTCTAATTTTAGACCCGATTCTATGTTATTAAGTTTTGCAGTTTTGTTATGGAAGTATTTGAATTTTGTACCCAGGACTAGAATTTGATCTATAGTATATATACCATTAAGTTGATCGTTATTGAGTACTACTGAATATTAAGTGAAAATTTTAGTAGGAATTATGGTTTGATATCGTTTGGAAACAAATATGTCCTTTATTTGGTTGATGGGGCTAGTAGTAGAATCTGAAACGCGCGTTTCGTTCTATATTAGGCCCATCAACTGGATGTACATGTTCTCCATTGACTGATACTGTCCCAATCGGGACTCAAACCCAGCACCTGCTGTTCAGAATACCAAAGTGTTATCCACTAGGCCTACAGTCCATGACAGCCATGACTTGTACAGTGGGAAGTCACAAGTATGAATGAATTAATTTATGTTTAGTCATTTGTAAATTAATATTTTTGATTTTCTATGTGGATAATTTATAAAATTGAATCAAAAAAAGTTGTTTTTCCCCCAGTGACGTTACATTACTGAGGTTAAATAATAACATTAGTGCCAGTAGTAGTATAGACTTACCTCTGCTTTAGTACACATATATTTAACAGCATTTTCGTCTGAATGGAAACTAAATGCTTTCAGAAATCCCTATAAAGTAAATATAATGAAATAGGTTAATACTGGAAATTAATTATACACTGAGTAGTGAGAATTTTAGTATGCAGTGTAGAAAAAAAAGACAGTAAGTTAAAATACACTTTATTGAATATATAAGCAATCTGGAGAGATTTATTTGATACCTTCGAAAAATGGAGGTGTTAGAAAGCTTTACTTACAATTACAAATTCAAACACTACAATCATAAACTTTTCGAAGTTGAAATTATATAAATAATCATCAAACTCAACATGTTTGAATCAGTATCAGGGATTTTTTAAAATTAGATGGAGTCAACAGAGTTGTAGTATGAAGATATCTTGTATATAAGTTGTGCATAAGTACCAAGTGACTTCATCAGTCACCGCATGCCCATAAGTGCTGATTAGTACGAGGATATAAACGTGCTGGTGGTTCAGTGATGCAATGCTTACCAGCCACGTACATTGCCCGGGTTAGATTCCTAGCTGACACCCTCCTAGACCTCACCTAGTTTACTAGTTGGCAGTAAGCCACGAAAAGATGGGAGTTTAAGCATGAGGCTAACAACCCAACTCTGCAAAAATAGTACCAACGCTACTGAAACTTCAAAGCATACAACTCGAAGCCCTACGATCCACTCGGCGGGCAAAGGGATGAAGTAATCGAGGATATACATGACTACAAAAATTACACTCAGCATGAATTTCTGCTTCTTCCTTCCCATCACCCTGTTACTTAAATGTTGCATATTTCACAAATTTTACTCACGTTTTTCTGAAGTTTGAATTTTTGTTGTTATACTGATCCAGCTGTAAAGTTACTTTATCAAATTATTACTTATTTATTCTAATTATTCTGTGTGCGTATGTCTGTGTTCTTAATCACTTTCCTTCGAAAGTTATTCAGTAGTATGTATCATTCGTTGATTACAGTAAATGGTTGTTTACGATACATGTGTTCAGCTATATTTACAGTCTCAGTTATAAGTATTCATGATGAAACAAACTATTCAGAACCACGGAATACTGGCCAGATGTTTCATCCTCGTTTGGGACCTTTAATCAGTGCACAACCATGATCTTACAAGGGGTCGGACCTAGGGCCATCAAATTACGTGCTAGTTTGCTGAAGACGAAACTAAAACAGAGGAACTCTTCAACACTCCCTTGTTTTTAGTGGTTCTTTAATTTGTACCTTTCCTTCATGAAATCAATCAAATCCTTATAAAAACAACAAATCATCAGTTGTGGGTGGTTCAGCGTTAATTTTAATATATTCTCTCATCATGAATTGATACTGGCTATGGAACTTCATGTGCAGGCTTAATCAGTAGTAACTGAAATTCGATAAATAAACTATTCAGCGTTCTTTATTTTTCCAATAATTTTGACGGAACATTAGTAAACAACATAGTTTTCCTGCTGACATGTTGTTAATGCAGTTAATTAATTCCAATATATACCATACAAGGAATAACTGCTTGCTTGCCTTCTTAATGGTTTGAGTAGCTTTGTTATCCACTTGGGGATAAAATGAAAAGGCGAACCTACCATATATGAAATGTAACGAAGTGGTAATCCACATTTGTGAACATCGTTACAAAGACATTTCATGGAGGATTTCATCATGAGCTGACATCAGTAAGAGAACCACTGGAAAACCTAGGAGTACTGGACAGCTGTTTCGTCCTAGTTCGGGACTCTTCATCAGTACACACCCACAGGGATTCGAATCCAGGACCTTCTGGTTCCAAGGCGAGCTCGTAGGCCATTGAGCCACTGGGACCGATCAATGGTCCTTGAATTCTAACTTCTGCCAATTAACGACATAGCGTGACCATTTCGCAATGTCTTCTTCAATGAGTTGCTGCCTCATCTTCAACCTACTGTACCCTACTGGTCACGGCTTCCCACTAGAACCCTAGGTTACCCTAATGGTACTAGTGAGCATCAAATTAATTTTCAAGTATTGGTTTTGTAGGGATTTTGTTTGATTGCATCGGGTCCCAGTGGCTCAATGGTCTACGAGCTCGCCTTGTAACCAGAAGGTCCTGGATTCGAATCCCTGTGGGTGCGTACTGATGAAGAGTCCCAAACTAGGACGAAACAGCTGTCCAGTACTCCTAGGTTTTCCAGTGGTTCTCTAACTGATATCAGCTCATGATGAAATCCTCCATGCAATCAAACAAAATCCCTACAAAACCAATACTTGAGAACAAAGACATTTCTCTTCGATGAAATAATTGTTTTAGGTCTCAATGGAAAATTATTAATTAAAGTACAGATAACAAGGAGCCTACAACAGTGAAAGATTTGAAAGGGGTTTTCGCGTTACTCTATTAAAATCTCATTAGTAAGAAGTGAGATTCATGTATTGAAGAAAATCCCCAATCAGTCACCAATATACTAAGCTGTCATTGTGTTTATCAAAGTCACGAAACCTCTAAAACATCGTATTCTGATCAATACTGATTCTATCCCTTACCGGACTATACAGTTAAAAAGGAGACCCTATTTCTTGTGTGAACATTCACCAGAAGCATAAATACAACTTGAAGATCATGTTACTATGGTTCTTAGAAGTAAATGTGATAGAGGGAATCTTAAAATCACAATGCAAACATTGCATAAATGAGTTCAGTTATGCAAATTTGATCAGCTGAATAAAAGATTTTACGCCAACTTCAATGGAAGACTTAAGTAATTTCAGATTAGTTTTGCATAACTGTGCACATCAATTCATAAAATCAAAGCTGAAACAGCTGCAGCTTCTCAGTAAGGGGGATTTTATTCAGCTTAATGATTTGAGGAAGAATCAAAATATTTTGCTAACTAAATCAGAAGCAGGTATTGTTATAATGAATTAGCGAGATTGTATTAATCAAACTCTGAAAATCCCCATAGATGAATTCAAATTTCGGAAATCCAAGCACGAGAAGAATGAAACAGAAATCACTTAAGAATCAATCAAACAGGTCCTCAACCGCACGTAGAATGATTTACTTATGACCCTAAAGTTATATAAAAGACCAAAACCTTCTGGATCTATAATTCACTGAACCTACGCTCTGACGGGATTCCATAAATTTAAACAAGCAGTTCATCACACTTTCGATAAGTAAGACTGGTTTTTTCATTATGTCGCCAACTAGATAACAAAACTCATATGAACTGTGATCAAGATTTGACCGAATAGTTCCAAAATAATTGGGCGCCACATGAGAAGTAGACATTTGTAAAAATTATATTTGTAAAATCTCAGCGAAATTGAAATGATTAATGCCAACGTTTCGTTCAGTAATCTGGTCCAAACTTCAGATAACAAAACTCCTCAAATCGTTATATAGGCAGGTATATATTTACTATTCAGCTGTAAGTATCCATGACGCCACCAGTGTGATCTTGCTGATGAGGAGTTCCAAACGTGGACGAAACACCTTTTGTAGTACTCTTCAGGTATCAGTGGTTCTCTAACCGATGTCACTGCGTTATCTAATGAGCAAAATATTATAATTTTTAAAACGTACAATCATAGATAATCAGTGCTTAATAAAAAAAGGAATATCTGATGTGAGTATATAAAGTACTTCTAATTCATTTTAATTGGGAAAAGAAAGTACCCTCAAAAAAAAAATAGAATAGTTTACCTCAAAATATTCTGATGCATTTGATAAACCACTATTTAATGCATAGAATGTTGCACCTTCACGAAATAATGGTTCTCCAAGTAAACCTTGAATTGGATAAAAGTGATAAGCAACTCTTTGTGTCTCTTCACATGATGTATAGAAATCAATCTAAATTTGTAAGAGGATAGATACAAAAATAAGAAAAGGAATAAAGGATGGAAAGAATTCTGCGTTTTTATACTGAAAAACTGTTTTATTTGAACAAGTGAAAGATGTAAGTAAAATGATATACTGATTTATATACGCATAAATAATACTATTAGTCTATAATAATTTGATAATATATTGGCCAAATTTACTTGATATAACACACATTGGTGATACAGTGAAGTGTCGAGAGCAGTTTATTGCTCATAACTATATCACACCGTAATGATACTCCTTGAATTATATTATTATTATTGTTTCCTTTAATTCCTAGAGGAACATAGGGCTTCAGCCGCGCGTCTCCATTGTGTTCGGTTCTCTGCTAGAGTCTTCACCTGGCTCCAAGTCTGCCCACACGTTTTCATCTCCTCTTCACATGACCTCCTCCAAGTCACCCTCACACTGACGACCAACTCGCCGCTTCCCTTTCGGGTTCCACTCGAGCAATGGCTTGTCTAGTGATGTCACTTGATGGTTTCCTTAGAGTATGGTCAATCCATCTCCATTTCTTCCTGCCTATTTGTTTCACAGTCGGTTCCTGGTTGGTTCGCTCCCACAGATCCCTGTTGCTGATCTTTTCTGGCCATCTGATCTTGAGTATTGAGCGAAGACATCTGTTAATGAAGGTCTGTAGTTTGTTTGATGTGCTCTTTATGATGCGCATGCAAGTCTCTGATCCGTATAGTAGCACTGACTTCACATTGGAGTTGAAAATCCGGATGTTATTTTTGATGCTGAGTGCTGTTGACCTCCACACAGACTTGAGAATAGTGAAAGCTTGTCTTGCTTTTCCGATTCTTACTTTGATATCCTTGTCAGTTCCGTTCCCTGTAGTTGAAACTATGCTTCCCAGTTAGGTAAAAGAGGTTGTTTCTTTCAGGTTCCTCCCATTTATGCTGGTCGTTGTCTGTTGTTGTTGCTGTTGTCGGTGGTCAGAAATCTTCATTACCTCTGTCTTCTCTATGTTCACCTGAAGTCCTATCTTCTCTGGATGCTTCTTCTGCCAACTTTTTGCTTTTCGCTTGCATATACTCATGAGTATTTCTTTAAATTACTGATTAGTGATGAATAGATATTCTTCCCGATAACTTCTCTAACAGACTCTGCAGTTACATGTAATGTATCAAGTGAAATAATAACCAACAAGTTAAGAACTTTTAATACTGGTAAGCTGCAGCTCAAATTTCTCTTGCGACCGGTTGTGATTCCTCAACTGAAAGATGAAGAAGTACCCAGGTTACTCTCCTCTTTCTGTATCTATCAATTCAACTGCTTCTGTGGAGCAAATTGTATTGACCTTTGCTGTAGAAACTTAGTTTTTCCTGCCTAGGAATACCTGTCAGTGTGGATAAATTAAGGTGTAGTAAAATCCGTCAACAGAACCTGCTCAAAAAGCCATCTTTAAAGAATTTTTTCTGTCATCTGCAGGTTATCGAATAAATTACCAAGGGCCTCTAGATGCCGAACACTTCAAGCAGCAGGGGCCATTGTAATTCGTTCAAATCAACCGGAGCTTTGTGTGCTAGAGAAACAGGTCCAGTTACTATTGATACCTTGGTCTCCTATAGAACCTGTAAACTCATAAATTCTGCATTATCTCGCAATTTATCTGATATCCAGTTTAATGTTATATTTGTGCATATTATGACTTACAGATGCATCTGAACTGTAATCTATTGATATTAATGGTTCAATGTTATTTAAAACACTGTTGTTGTTAATAACAATAATTCTTTAATTTTTATGGACACCTGCTTTTTTGATTGGACACTAGTTAGTAAATAGTGTAATCTGTCTAGTCCTCTGTTTGTTGCAGAGTGAATTCTATCAGTCAAGTTTGCAATGTGACCACTATTCTAGGTGGCTTGCCATCACGGTGCACTGTGAATTGTTGGTATTAGATTGCAAACTTGACTGATAGAATTCAGTCTGCACCAAAGAAAGGACCTCCTACAGGAGGTCAATCGTGAGCCCAAATAAATCCTCAGTGGTAACGTCTCTGACTGCAGCACTGGGTGACTCGGGTTCGAATCTGAGAAGGGACATGAGTTCCTTCAAGGTTGCAGATACGCCTTGCTGACTAGTGAGTGCCAACTAGCACGAAATCTAGGTCCAAGGCTTCCTGCTAACTGCCTCCAACCATCTAATACACCTAACTGTAGAACCTGGTTAGGTCATCGAAAAGAATATTCTTTTTTCTACCAATCAGTACTTCTTTAGTCGAATCAAAAATCTTATAATCCAATGAAGATACTGGATATCGTTAACTCGGTGATAGAACTCATAAACTTGTGTAATTTATTGTACAATTTAACAGTTTCCCAAGTGGATTAAACATTATTTATGTTAACGTGTTTGGATTAGATTGTTTAATGTATACATATTATTAATTTTGGCTTTAAAAACAACAGTCTTTAAAGCAATCACTTAGATCACTATATACCCTCAGATATATCTCATCATCAGTATAAGGTGAAAGGTGATGTTGTGTAGTGGTGTATCAATAAAAAGAACCATAACCAAACTGAATTATTTATGAGTTAACTGTGAACAAAGATGATTTGTGTATAAGCATACGTTGTTTGTGTTTGCATTGATTATTTGCTTCACATTACGTGAAGGGAACTTTAGTGATTTATAACTCTATATAAACTAACGAAGATTGGTATTTCTCTCTTAATTTATGCAATAATTACCTTTTGATTGTTTTCCTCCTTCTATCTCTGTGACTATCTCATTATTTATTATTAAAAATAGAATGTCAACTAACAGAGCTAATACTTAAAACAAACAACAGAGTTTTGTTTCAATCTTAAATGGTTGCAGGCAGTCGGCTAGAAGTTTTGGACAAACATAAAAGATGCTTCCAGGGTGGTATAGATCAAATTAATGATATTTATATTTCATCTTCTTTCAGATGTCAGCCCTAGGAAACCGTAGCGGTGTTACTCGAATCACAAAGAAATCGATTCTGAAATCCATAGTCGTGATAAACTGTTTACACATTTCACTTTTTTTGAATCGATTTTGTGAATAGGACTGATAATTCAATGGAAGTGGTGGTTTCTGTGCATTATTATTAATATTGTTCTCTTGGGTTCCTAGTGGAACATAGCTTCAACACTCCACTGCTTCTGTCTTCTGCTGTACTTTTCACCTGCATCCATGTTAGTCCATTCTGTTTCAACTCTTCTGCACATGATCTCCTCCATGTCACCCTGGACGTCCCACTCGCCGCTTCCCTTTCGGGTTCCACTCGAGCCTGACGCGCGATGTCCTCAGCGGCCTCCTCAGGAGTGTCCAATCCATCTCCACTTTCTCCTGCATATTTGTTGAGCGATTGGTTCTTGTTTCGTTTGTTCCCATAGTTTCTTGTTTGTGATTCTTTCCGGCCATCTGATCTTGAGTATGGAACGAAGACAGTTGTTGATAAAGGTCTGCAACAGGCTGTTGAAAATATTCTTTGTGACCCGCCAAGTTTCTGATCCGTTTGTATTGAAAATCGAATTTTGTTGTTGATGCTGAGTGACGAAGATTTCCAGATTTTTCAGGTTGATGAATGTGTTTCTCGCCTTCCGATTCTCGTTGACATCTCGTCCATTCCTTCTGTAGTTGAGACAATGCTCCCTAGATAAGTGAATGAAGTAACCTCTTTCAAATCCCTCCGTTGATGTGATTGGCGCTGGATGTTGCTGCTGCTGTTGTTGTTTCTGTGTAGAAAGCCTGAATTGTAGGAGAACTGTTGGTCATTCAAAGGAATTTGTATTTATACTTTACTCAGAAATCGTGTAGATATATTCAGTACGCAGAGAAGGAAGTTTAGGACAGAAAGACTGGAAAATTACAATGGTTTCGTGGATATATACCATAGAGACCACTGAGTAATATCGCGTGCCATATCCATTGAGTGGAACTTAAAGGAGAAACGATGAATTGGCCGTTCGAGGGAGACATGGAAGAGATCGTGTGAGGAGGAAACGAAAGCTTATGGACAGTAATATAGCCATTTGAAGACGACTGGAAAGAAGAGACTGAAATGACGGTGTGCTGCTGAACTCATGGGAATGATAGTGGTCATTTCTGTTTTATTAGGTTATATATAAGAGTTTCTATTCTTTTCGTAAAGCTCCACCGTAGTAATGTTCCATTTATATATTTCCCTTCCTAGTGAATTTGTACCTTGAAACAAGCTAACGGTGTAATGCAGCAATAGAAGAATCGCTAAAGAAACAGGATCAAATATAATTATGTGTTATGTTATTGTTAAGGACTGCTAGTGAAATAAAAATCTCGTTCATGAAAAGGTTCGAACTAGTAGTCACTGAATACTACTAGTCTGATGCTAAAACAGCCAAGTTACGAGAACTTCAGCAATTTCATTGGAATGATGATTTGGTTGGAACGCTTCAGTCATCAACATTATTTCATTAGCAGCCTGCAGACCTATGGCTATATCAGATAGTCTGACTATCAACAGTTTAAGTTTCTTCAAATAACTATCGCCTTTCCAATGTTGACTGCTGACTTAATTATTTGCTTATTTACAATACTTATTATTGAATTAAATTTGTCTTATAACACGCTAAGAACTCCACTGAAAGGCGAAACACTTTATTCCTAATTCATATACTTTACAGTCGGAATTTCGACAGCCTGTACGCCACCTTTTTCTGTAGAAACCTTTAAGATATTTATTTAGACGGTGTATCTTTTGAAAATGTTGATCTTGTTGTTTTTATTTACCGCTGACTTTGAATAAAAACAAAAAACAAACAAACAAATAACACAATAGACGTTTACATGGATGCAATTTATCATAGTAAACAATAATGATTGAAACAAAACTGAATTCTACAAATAAACATGATTGAAATAACATACATATATATGTGGTGTATATATAGGCATGTAGGCCTATAATATATATATATATATATATATATATATATATAGAGAGAGAGAGAGAGAGAGAGTAAAGCTTACTTTGTCCGGTTTAATTAATATTCCCAAATGCCAATAATCATCATTCCATGGTATAGAGAATTCCACTTCTTTTGGATTACCATCAAACGATAGCGGATTATACGTGAAAATGACTTGATATGTAGTATACTATACAAAGACAAGAGAAACAGCAAAACAGAGTGAAACAAAAATCAGTGAGAGATCATTGAAAAGGAAAAGTAATAAACGAGAAAAACAAATGAATAATAAGATGGTCAGTAAGATGGAATGTTCAGTAATGTAGAAAAAGTTTACATAAACAAATGTGATTCATCTTTTATAGATAGAAGGTATGTGTTTGCACATTTATATTTGTATATAATAATAATAATAGTAATAACAGAGTGTTTATTACTTCTTTTTATGATGAATAATAATGAGAGTTGAATTTTTGGAAATATTTCTAGACATGTATAGAACACTTATTCATTTGATTTCAGAAAAGAATATTTTCTTTTAGTAGTCATATAGTGTGTTCTACTTATTGCGCTACTTATAACAATAGATAGTAGTATATAAAGCGGTTTCTTCTTATGAGAAGGCGTTGATAATTCTCCAGTAGATGGACGTACTGCTGTTCAAGAAATCCTCTCGAGTGATGCAATCCTGAAGGGAATCAAATAAACGAAGACAACTGAGAAAGAAATATTCCTAAGGCACAATGGCTGGTGATATTTGCAAATTGAAGGATAAATGCATGACACGCCATATACAGTTTAAATTTGTGGTTACAAGTAGGACTCACGACAATCGTATCTGTCAGGATATTGAGTTTGAGGGACAGGAAGAGAGAGAGAGACTGGGATGTTTGTGGGGTTTCTTAACAGAAGCCGAACTGTTCGTTGGTTAAATGAATTGAATAATTGTTAGTATAGCGTTAAACGCTCTATACATTATCAAGCATACCTTCTTACCGTAAAATATTATTACCAATAAAAATTATGCAGGCGGTATGAAGTTCAGGGGGATCATATTGGTGTAAGTGTTTCTCTAAGCTGGATGCTTAAATTAAGAAGCTTTCATTGTCTTTTTGTGGACGGCATCTTCAAGGTGAAGGTAAGGAAGCTTTTAGAATTCTCCAAGAATTCATTAGGTATCTCTCCTGGTGAGCTTGAACTTGATTAGTTGTTTCTAGAGATTTTCTCATCCTCCTGTTCACTTGTATTGCTATTGCCTTTTTATCCATATGACTTCTTTTTATTGTTTGATAAATCTGATCTATGCCAATGTGTCTGTTGATTGAAGATTCATCTGAGTACCAATCACATCCACACTCACGAGGAAAGACGGCTAACCAAGTCATACAGAATTCTAAAAGCTCCCTTCATCTTAAAGTTCGCATTGAAGATGCTGTCCACAAAAAGACTATGAAAGCTTCGCAATTAAACCATCGAACTCAGAGAACACGACTACACTAATATTTTTACCGATATTAAACACATCGCATTGAGTTTTGATAATGAATGTGAATATTCAGTCTTCTGTTATTACTACACTTCTTACCATTCGTCTCCATGAAACACAACTAAAATTTGTAAGGCTTTAATGTGAAACTGAAAAGTTGAATATTATTTCTTAGAAACTTTTATTGAATGAACTGATATCTGCAGGTTGTTTAAATCTTTTCGGTAGTCATTATATTACGGAATAAAAGTTGTTATTTGTTTTCATTCCTTTGCGTTTCAAATGAAACAACGAACTTCGAAATTTATTTAAAGTTTCAGTAGAGGTGGTGTTGTTTTTACAAGTGGAGTTGTAAGCCTCACACATCCAACCTTATCTGTTTTCTAGGCTTACTATCGGTTTGTTAAATTAAGCGAGGTTTAGAAGTGCGTCGTCCAGGTATCAAACTCGAACCATATGGGTGGTTAGCCAGGGTTCTACCATTAAACTACCGACGCACACAATAAAAGTATTCAGCAAGAATTACGGTCGTTTGAACTGACTCCACTGACTGACTGACTGGTTTCAACGTAGAACGTTGGATTTCATTGTTAGGCCACCACTAGCTCTTTTCCAACCTGATCCATCATATTCAGTCAGCTAACACTGTCTATTGTTGAGGAAGGCGATGGCTCGGCACTCATGTGTATCACATGTCCTAACCATCTCAGTCGGAGTAATTTCACAACCTCGTCTATTAATTTCCCCTCCTTACCTAGCACTCGACCGATGCCTGACCTTAATATTGCTCACTCGATAATACCACTTCATACGGGAGATAAAACGCACGCACCTATGATCAAAGACAGCTAGCTTTTTCATGTCTTCCACTTTCAATGGTCATGTCTCGCCCACAGCCATAAAGGAGGACGGAGCGGACTGCTGAGCAGTACATACGCCCTTTGGTCGATAGCCGGATATCATGTCTACGCCAGAGACGGCGTAAATTGGCCCATGCAAAACGAGCCTCCTGTATCCGTGCTGAGATTTTGTCAGCAATCAAACCGCTGGCACTGGCTGATGCAACTTTCCAAATAAGTGAAGTGGTCAACATGCTATATCACTTCACTCCTTATTTCTAAGCTAGGAGTCAATGTGGTCCAGTCCTGTAGCATCATCTTACACTTGGTGGGACTTACTCCGCTATTTGAATAGAGTCAATCCAAGATCTCATCCCACCGTCAAACCAACGAAATAGCTTTCCAGTGCTGAGGTAATCTTGATCTAAATCACGAGCGCTACTTATGAGTTGATTTGATTACTTCCCACCTATTCATATTAAACAGCAGTATGTATGATGTTGCTTATTTTGTTTTATATGTTACCATTATTTAAAACCCTCACTGAGACATTTAAAATGAAACAATATGAATCAGAAAGGATATATATATATATTTCAGTTAGTTGTACACTAGCGTTCATGTTTCAAAAATGACATCAGATTACCAATTTTTATGTTGGTAGTGTTGGGTCATTAAAACTCACTACAAATTCCATGTTACTTATGTCGTTATCTATATTTGTAAAAAAAGAATAAGATGTCTTAATAAAGAGAATGATTATACAGAATTAATTAAATAAACATCTATAAGTTAAAATGGTAAAATCGTTTTTTTGACTAACTGTATATAAATCGACAATAAAATAACAGATTTACTAGGTGGGCAGATGCTGATAATGATGTTTACATTCACACAAGGTAATGGAAATAAAAGGTTTGAGATTGAACGAAAAGGAGTAGTAGTTAACTGATGTAATTAAGTTAAATAACTTAGAAGATGAAGGAAAAAGACGGGTCATAATAATTCTTTAGAATTGTTCATGAAGAGGTATATTAATTACTTACATTAACCAGATATCAGAAGGGTTGATGTGTGTCGTTGGTTCAACTGTAGAATGCTCTCCAACCACGAATGTGGTCCGGGTTCTATTTCCAGCCTATGTACTCCTTAACGTCGCCTAGAATACAATATACCCAGCAAAGAGGGGAGGTTGGGCGTAAACCTAGCAACCCTACCCTGTAAAAAGCGGCGAGAAGGCTTTCCTATTCATTTTTAAAAGCCAAGATATTATGTGTTCACTGACACGTTTAGGAAGTATAATGATATAGATTTATAGAAAGATAATTGTATATTTGGGCATTCTGTAGGTTTCGTTGCTATCTGGTCTTCAATTTTCGAGGTAAAGTACTGTCTGTAGTTTTGCTTTGTATTTTTGTGATATCTGGTCTGACATATCTTAGAAATCTTCAACTTGAATAGTAGTCAATCTCTTAGAACAGTTGAAATATAAATCACGGAATATTCTAACTTCAAGATTAACTAGTTCTGTTTAACACCATGAAACGGATCAATTTCTTAGTTCGTTACATAAAAATGTAAAATGTTTGTAAGCAAATTAAAAATCGGAGTCTCAGATGTACCATGAGGTCCCTAGGGTTGCTAAAATGGTTCCCCTCGAAACTACCGAACAAAAACTACAGAAAGCGAAGTTTTTTGTCAGCTACCATCTGGCCTTTCTCATCAAATAAAATGAATTATAGTGTGGTGTCGCTTTACCTGATGCAATTATACTCTTCCACTTGGACGATACAATGGAATATAATTTGGAAATAAACTGCTATTATCTTAGAATTAAGTAATGTGAAGATAAATGTACCTCTTTCACAGCTGATAATACTTCGCCCAACTTCCTACATTAAGAACAGTTTATCATCTGTGTTTTGACGTTTTCATAGAAAGCTTATCCCTATTTTTCTGGATATATGGATAAGGTTTCATGCGAAACAGCATAATGCCATATGTTAATAATTAATTTGAGTAGTCGGGAACCACTCATGTTCATCATCAACCTGTTTTCTCAGCTTTCCTGACTTTCATTTTCGGTGCCAAGTAGATTGCATACTGGCATCTGAACATTTCGGTCTTTCTAAAGAAATTGTGGTGGATTTTTCACCATTATCATTTCACGCAAACCATATACGCAGAAATTTCCAATACTTCATCGAAAAGAAACAAAGTTTAACTCTATGAAATGATATAGTGAGCAAGTGGAGCTTTATCGGTCTAAATTTGTCTGCGGGAAACCATAAATATGAACAAGTAATAATGTTGATTTAGTGGTGAAATGCTCACTGGCCACGCAGGAGGTCCAGGTTCAATGTTTTGTCAATGCATTCTGAGTCCTGGTGAGAGTAAGCTCGGAAAAGAGGAGAAATTAGGAGTGCGCGGCTAGTGAAAGCAACACCAATCGTGCTGACACAGAGGTTTGAGCCTGAAGTCTTATGTCCCACTCAGAAAGTAAAGAATGAGGACAAAATATCCTTCGCGCAAAAAGTGGTTCTCATGGCTCAGAAGCTTACCGGGGAAAGCTTTGAGTTTTGAAACTCTCAATGGAAGGAAAGGCACTCACTTACTGAGATGTGGACACATCCACCTGACAAGTCGCAGATAGGAATGAGCTCATGCTTTGATTCCACTGTTAGCGATTAATAAATAATCACCTACTAAATCCATTTTATGCAAAGATTATTGTTACTTTTCTTATAGCTATATAATCACTTACTTCCTTACGATTTAATTTACTGCCTTTTATAATATTACTGATTAATCTGCCCCAAATGCATTCACTATTTGATTGTGTGTTGTTGTGACCACTTATACACT